TGCTCGAGCCAATATGACTTGTCTTCGTTATGGTCAACAAGGATATTGGGCGGCAAATTGTCCTCAGAGCTCATCGCCGAAGTCCAGCGGCACCAAAAAGCCGGCACCCACGGAGAGTATGGCACAGGTGATGACTTCAGAGGATGCCATGCTCATCTTCCAGGACCACACCGGTGCCGAGCGTCCTGAGTGCGTGATGTTGGACCCTGGTGCATCTGCCTTCCTGGCAGGCTATGGACCTTTCCGGCGGTACCTACAGCATCTTCGACAGGATTGTGGCTTCCCCATCGAAAACATTGAGCTGACAAAGGGGAAACGCTGCTTCCAGTTTGGAGGCGATGCTCCATCTTGGTCGTCCTGCTCAGTTCACCTTCCGGTGTTTCTCGATGGCCGCTACGGCACCATCCAGATGTTCCTGTTGCCTGGCAATAGCCGACCCATCATCGAGGCCCTTGGCATGACCATGGACTTCACCATGCGCCGCATTTGCATCGGCTCCTCAGGATGGCAAGAAGCCACACTCGGTCGACAAGGCGAGTATTTCCTCTCGCTGACGGCCGACCATGATTTCATCCAGTATGACCCTGGACAGCCGGATTTCTGCCTGAAGACCGCTGAGGCTGACATGGAGCAATGTGATGGTTACAAGCTGGAAGACTTCGAACGGTCTGATTAGGGCTTTGCTGCTTTGTCAACTATGAAGGAGGAGGAGATCAAGGATGAACAGCTAGCAAACACTCTGAGGCAGCATTCCCTGTAGACCATGGACATCCAACTCCGGACCCACCTAAATGACATGTCCGCGTACCTGACCAGCCAACTTCATGGCCGGGACACAGACCAAAAGCGAGTTCTATGGGAAGTCTATTGCGGTTCTGCACGGACCTCACAGGTGGCAGAATCCCTGCGAATGACAGTGCGTCGTTTTGGGCTGGAGATAGGATGGAATGTCGACCTGCTTGACCATCAAGAAGAGTTCCTTCGTCTTCAAGAAGAGGAACTACCTGATGAAGTTCTCCTAGCACCTGAGTGCAAACTTTGGAGTCGGATGCAGACCCTCGCTCGCCGCACCGCACATCAGCAAGAGGCACTGGTTGCTGCAAGGCAACACCATCATATCGGCACTTGGTCTTCGTCAGCGAGCTGCAGCTCAAAAGGCTCTAGTCGATGCTGATGCGGATCGCCGACTCCGACGCGCATTAGGCGCGAAGTACAAGGGCATGAACTCTGAGTATCAGATGGGTCAGCAGGTATGGTTCTGGCGCGATGCCAGACAGCCCGACTTGGTAAAAATTCGCTGGCTCGGGCCGGCTCATGTGGTGATAAAGGAGTACAAGAATGAGGGCGATAAGAAGAAGGTCAATATCTATTGGTTGACCTATAAGTCCCAGCTGATCAGATGTGCACCTCACCACATCCGAATTAATGTCAAGAACACCGGTCACATCCTTGCTAATGTTCAGAAAACGCTCAACACCGTGCGCTCGCTCAAGTCTAGAGGAGTTACTCGCTTCTATGATCCTCACCGTCTCAACCGGCAAGAACTTCTGGACGTTGAAGCTGATGAGCATGCCCAGTCCACCGATGGAGGTTTGATGGATGATTCTGATCATAAAATGGCACCGCCTCGACAGAGGCCTCGGCTTTTGCCACCGCTACCAGTGTCCATTGCTATGCCCGACACAGTAGTCGATGATGACTACACGCCAACTTCACCTCCGTCAGCCGCAGCCACACCAACAGCGGCAGCAGCAATTGTACCGGCAGCAGCAGACACGGCAGCGGCAGAAACACAACCGCAAGCCACAGCCAGTGTCGGACTCCCTCGTGTCCCCAGCACTCTGGACTCACTCTCTGAGCCGGAGCCACCAATTCTATCCACTGGGGCCACGCCACATGCACGACTACCACCGACACCAAGAACGGCAGCACTCTATGAGGCTCCATCACGCCCTGAAACTTTTCAGGAACGCCGTGCTCGCATCAACCAGCAGGAGACGCTGAGCTTTGCACCTGTCCGTCAGAGATCCACGAGCACTGTGGCGCCCTATGAGACTCCAACACGGCCGACCTCAAGCACCGACGATGCCATCACTGGACGGGCTTTCTATTTGGAGGATCTGGACACTTCAATTCTTCCTAGTGGTTGGCACATGGATGAACATGGATTCCTACAGCTCAACAACCGAAGCACTAATTACTGGGGGTTGCGAGCTAGATGTTTAATCCGACATCATGTCGTTCCACGACGGGGTCGCTTGCCAATGGCTCAACTGCCTAAGGATTGCCCTGTCTCAGTCGACAAGTTAGACAAGGTTCGTGTGATTTTCGTACATGGAACTAAGGGCAAGGGCAAGCTCTACACAGACGATGGCCTAGACAGTTCTGCACCACCGGAGGTCACAACCCCTTGGATTGGCGCCAACATCTTCCAGATCAACGGTGAAACCCGGAAGGAATTGGTGATGTATAGTGATTCACATCAAGCCTTCATGAACGCCAAACAGCAGGGCAAGGAGCAGAAGGCAGCAAAGATAAAGAAGTTCAAGAAAGGAAAAGATGACATTAACGAACGTCATCTCGGGCCCCAGGAGCGTGCTTTGTTCAAAGAGGCCAAGATCAAGGAGCTGAAGAATTTCTTCGACCACCATGCGTGGATCTTCCAGACGATGAAAGAAGCTAATCCGGCGAGGATTCTCTCATCCAGAATCCTATTGAAGTGGTCTCGCAACCCTAATGGCACTCCACGTGCAAAAGCACGCCTCATCGTGCGCGGCTTCGCTAATCCTGGTGCCTTGGCTGGAAGGATCGAGACCTCGAATCCCACGACTACAAGATTGTCCCGCTCCATGGCGCTTTCTTTGGCAGCGACCATGGGATGGTCTACATGGACCGCGGACGTGAGCACCGCCTTCCTCCAGGGTCGTGAGCAAGACAGAAAACTCTGGGTGAAACTTCCTGCTAAAACTTTGGCTTTGCTCGGGGGTGATGAGAACACCCGCATGCTCCTCCTGAAGCCTTACTACGGTCAGATTGATGCACCCCGTGGCTGGTTCCTTGAAGCTGTTGATCGCCTGAAGCGAGGAGGACTGAAACAGCATGCGCTTGATCCTTGCGCCTTCTTGGTCTACGAGCTGGACGATGAGAACTACAACTCCGATGATCCAGTGCACTCTGAAGTGAATGCCCTGGGCGATCGACGCCTCGTGGGAATGGTCATCATGCATGACGATATCAAGCCGTGGTGTCCCAGCTCAAGGCCAACTTCTCATTCAGAGAATGGAAGGAAGACCAGAAGGTCCTCGAGTACTGCGGTTGTGAGCTCGAGAAGTTGGATGATGGCGGCACCTGCCTGTACCAGACCAAGTACCTCGAGAAGGTCAAACCCATCTGCCTAGACAAGAAACGGTTTCCTACAGAGATGCTGAAGGAGCGAAAAATCACACAACTTCGTGGCTTGCTGGGCTCGCTGCAATGGCCTGCGGTGCAAATGGCACCCCACCTGCAATGCAGCACTTCGCTGCTGGCTGGCCAAGTCACCAAGGCGACTATGCAAACTGTTTTGAACTGCAATCGACCCGAGCTACACTGCCATGAAGAAGAAAACGAAGGGCGAAAAGATGTCAGCACTGGCAGAAACCACAGCCAATCATGCTGAACCTGGTCGCTCAATCTCCTTCGAGCATTCCCACGTGCATGAAGCACCTGGCCCCACTGAAAAGGAAGAGGTTGATGAGAATGTTAACGGTGACATACATGAGAATGCCATATTTGTCACGAATCACCCCATCGAGAGTCGCACAAAGAATATCATGTTTTGGGTCATGCTGGTTTTGATGGCAAACACCTGTCAGGCTCGCTCGGACATGTGCTAGGCCAACGACACCAACACCTCCGAGTACATGGAGGACTTAGGCTTGCTGGGCCTCGGGATTGCGCTAATCCTCATGCTTGCCCACCTGTGCCTGTGGCTTTGTTGCAAGAACAAAGCAACGTCAGCCAGCGTAGGAGTCCAGAAAGATGAAGCCGTCGTTCCACGTCGTTTGAGGGAACTACTGGTTAGGGAGACGGAAGAGAACCGAAACCACCTCAGGGCTTGCATTGAAGCCCGAAAGGCCATATGTTTAGCCCAAACCGAGAACAACCACCTGCTCCAACAGAATGAGGACTATAAGGCATTGGCCAAAGATGAATCGGTTATCATCCGCCGATTCATGGACATGCTAGATGACCACTGGCTCACATATGCCCATGCCATCATCATCATGGTATCTCGCCAAGGTCAGTGTTAGCATCATAAAGACTGCCACTTGGTTAAACAAATAATTCCCGGAAACCGGCAATATATGAAAGGGGTATAACAAGTGTTGTGGTTAAGAATCGGTTCCTCCAACTCGCAAGCACGACTCGAGCGGAAGCAAAGGCCTAGCTAGCCGATATAATTAACCTTTGAAAAGGTCATTTTGCTTTGTTTTTTTCCAAAATCACCGCCCGTATGAAACGCACGCTATGCATTTGTTAAAAACACATTCCGACCTCAAATCGCACCTCTCCGAAAAAAGAGGGCTCAAGCAACCAAAAAGCTATGCGGCCGCGGTACGATTCCGTATCATTAATTTGTTCGTAGTATTTATTCACCCTAAACCTTTGGGCTTCGAGTACCATTAGTTTCTTCGTATCAATATATAATATATTAAATATCCTATATATCCAAATCCTATAAATATATAAAATTATAATCGAAATCTTAAATATATTTATATAATCAATAATATATTAAATTTATTAAATCCATATATAATATGAATTTGTAATATTAATTTAGAAAATCTCGGATGCCCTTCATAAATCCTAGATTGTTCCATTTATCCTACAAATTTATAGGGTTTGGGCTTGTAGGGTATACGGTATATATAATATAGTATATTTAATATTTGAGTAACAAATAATAATAAACAATATATATATATATACATATTTATATATTTTGTTCGCGATTATTAACCTTTGTCCGATCGAAATCGATTCATCATGCAGTTGGTTAATTTTGTTTGAAATTATGAAGAAATTCTGTATCAAGTTGATTTCCCAATATGTCCAATCGTTTTCGTCCATTGAAAATTTCAATCGTCCCAAATCAAAACGAGACTCTTCCATTCGAGACCCTCTTCTTTCCACCACGACCCTTTGATATTCCCCCTCGTGGTCGCCACATTGGACCTGCACGTGGTCGCGGAACACCCGCGCGGGGCCCGACCGCGCGCGTTCCACGCGCGGGTTGCAGGGTCCCAGGCCACCATCCAGCTTGTGAGATTGGCCACTGAAGTTCATGTAGGTGTCCCGCCTCATTCCATTTCCCCGTGTTTTTGTTGAAGCCGAAGCAGGTGGAAAACATGAAGGGATTTCGACTGCTGCTACAAAAGCTGAGGTTTATTGGAGAAGTGTGGCGTTGGTTTTTCGCGAGGTATGACAAAGAGCAGGAGAACTTGATGGATATGAGAATTTGAGATTCATGTCCACCTGGTGACCACAAAACGTGCGATGACACTCACAATGAACCCGTTTGGTTCAATCTACAGTTTTATTCAGGACCAAAAACCACCAAAAAGGATAAACGCACGCTCCGCAAGCGCAGGGCTGTTTCGTTGACAAGCTTGGTTCCAAGGAGATTGGTTGGCCTTCGTGTCCAAAAAAGAAAACCCTCGATCGTTGGAGCCAAACCGCAAACGAGCTGGTGTTGAGCCATCGATGTTCCGAATGGTGAAACAAGGGCTCATTGGTACAAGCCATTCAAACATGGGTGGGCCAGGAATCCCTAGGGGTAAGGAATGCGGGCATCAATCCAATTGTTGAAGAAAACTTCTTGACGAGCCCAAAAAATGCACCAGTTCTTGGTGGCATGGCCCACCATCCAAGAAAAGTCCTGCACTAGCCCGTTTCAGCTTTTTTGCGTTGGTGTGTCCGAGCAGCTGCCCCTTCCAAAACCACCAAAGCTTCGCCAGCTGGTGTGTCCATGTCTGGGATCAGGTGGAACGATTCTCACGCCTCGTCTCAGGTGCCTTCTCAGGTGCTTTCGAGTTCAGGTGCTTCAAAACTGCCCCTCGAACACACCCGTTGGGTTCGTAAGGCCGTCAACCCAAACCTTCCCCACAACCTCCCCATGGTCGCTTGGATTCGGGAACATATACCGAGCAAATCAAGCAAGAAATCGGTTTAACCGTTAGAAATGGTGTGACTCAGGTGCTCGGAATTTGGACACCTCTGACACACAGCCATGCACACCAATAGCACCAGGACAAGCCATCCACATCCCACCAACGTGCGCTCTCCAAGTGCCCGGGCCCCACAGGGCTCGACCTTGCCAAAGCAAATCAAGGGGAAACTGGTGATCTAGAAGTCCAAAAGTCCAGAAGAGTTTGGAAGGACAGGTTTGGAAGGACAGGAAGAATCCTAGAGTAGAAGAGTCTAAGGATGGGCCACCGTTTTTCGGTCCGGAAGAGTCTAGAAGTCCAGAATTTGAAGCAACAGGCGGAACGTCCATTGAAAAATAATACAGAAGAGAGAGATCTCCAAGGTGGCAAAGGAGTTTCTGTTTGAACACATAAGAGTTTTGCACCGAAAAAAAGAAAGAAAAAAGTTGGGCCTTGGGCAGAAGCACTGACCCTCTGTACTGTACATCACGTTTTGTCCACCACCAAGAAGACATCGAGCTTGACGGTGTTGGACCCTGCCCATTCTCGGGGCTTCATGCACTCAGCACTGGCTGATGCTCCTCCGCCACGACAGAAAAAGCACACCTATAGCCTATAGCCTATAGCGCCTTTCTTCGGGGGGTTCATGTTGGCGAGATGTGTGCCGGTACCCTTTTACAAAGCATCAACAATGACCCAAACTCCCAGTCTGAAAATAGACTTCTCAGACACAAATTGATGTCACTTTTGGGGGTGGTGAAGACTTGTGGACCACAGTAGTGCAAGACAAGACTCACAGTAGGACTTAGTGGAACAAAAAGACTGAACCCGCATGGGTCTTTTCACAAATGACCATGACTCACTTGAGTTCAAAACCAGCACCCTCCACCGGATCCCCCTTCACGTCTCGACCGGATCCAGCACCGGATCCACCGGCCGTTCGTTCGATCCGGCACCGGTGGATGGCACACCGGTCGGCCCACCGAAGTCTTCCAAGAGAGGTAGGTTAAGTGACCGTAAATAGGACCCGGAACACCTGGGGGTATCCCGGTCCGCCTGGGATAGTCGAACTAGGCTTCTGGTTCAACCCATCTCTGTTGGTTAGACATATTTCTCTTCCAAACCCCAAAAAGCACCGGCCGACCGGGCTTGCCATCGACCCTCTGGACCGGTCGGTTCCGGTGGGTTCCGTTCGAAGGAACTCGCCCAACCGGAGGGGAACGCGTCAGATCGGATTCCATGGAGCCCAAACCCTCAAAACCAAGCTCCTCATCTCCGGTCGCGTTGAACATGCGAGACCTCCCGGGCCTGGGTCTGTATGAAAATACTGGAGACCTCCCAGGCGGGCAACGATTTTCTGGGTTCACTTTTGGAACATCGACCCTCTGTGCAGGGCAGGAGCAATCGGGTGTCTCCCAGATTTCTAACATACACTCACACCCAAATGCTTTGAAATGTTTAGAAAAAACGAATGGATTTCCTGATTTCACCTCGTGGCTCTCATGGTCTCGCCTCGTGGCTCTCCTAGTCTAACCGGTGTTGACCTACATTACTTTCATCCAAACACCGTCCCATCCTCCATCCCCTCCCCCTTCCGGGGTGCCCCAGCTCACGTGCTCCCTCGCGCGTGACGCGCAAGGAGGGCTGTGGCCTGACCGAGCAGGAGGTCCTTTTGTCTGGGTCCCTGCGTGGGTTGGGTTGGTAAAGGGGGGTGGTAGGGGTGGCTAGGAGAATAAATGTTGGGGTGCAACTCAAGCCTGTGTGTTTGTCGTCAATTTTTCTTTGCGGGGGGGAGCTCAAAGGTTAGGAGTTGCTCGGATGTGCCAAAGGGCCACACACGCTGGTAGATGAACTTCAATGAAGAACATATGCTTTTGAGAGGACTTCTGTATGTTTGTTCTTGCTTTTGTCTGTTTTTTTCTCCAGGATCTCCTCCTTCCCCTATCATTTCCCAAGCGAGTTGACATGGAACCCTGCCCAGAATGCCCCCGCCACGCCCCCGCCAGGGGTTTCCTTCGTGTCTACCCCGTTTCGTTCCTTCGTGTGTGAAGCCTTCCTTCCTTCGGTGCATCACCTCCACTTCGAGGGATATCCCCCTGGAAACAGGATGGGTTTCACCACGCTTCACCCTGGGCGGAGCCTATCCGAGCCTCCCCAGACAGTCTGGTTGATCCACCACCCACGAGCTTCGGTACCGAAACGCGCGGGGCCCGGAGCTGCTGGAGGAACACGAAAGCCCGGTCATAGGCTCATGCAGCTTCTTGCTGGTCCAAACAAGGAGAGGAGAGGAGCCCGAAACCCATCCAGGCGCAGCTTGCCGGGTGCTGCGCCGCGTTGGAAGTGTCGGAGCTCGAAACATCCATTCGTCTCTAGACGTGGACTCAACCCTGATTCCCATTCATCCACATCAGCCTGGTTTCAGGCGCTGTGGGCCTAGGTTGCCACGGAAGCACAGATGAAGGATGATGAAGGATTTGTCCGACCCAGGCCCGACCCATTGGCTCTTTTTGTCGTTTTGGCTTCCAGTCTGGGTCCACCCTGGTCCAAATAGAAGAACCCTCCGTGACTGGGAAGAGCCTTCGTGACTGGGAAGAACACCTTGAACATGGAAGCCTCCGCTGGGATGCACGGTCTTTTGCCTTCTCTTCCAGCTGCAAATCAGTTTGGAAAAAAACAAAGAACTTCTTCGTCCGCATCTGCAAAGGTCTATTCCCCTAGGGCTCCAACCACCTCCTGAGAAGGTGGTTGGGGTGGGTTTGGGGGGTCTAACCACCTTCTGAGGATATGGTTGGAGCCCTAGGGTCCTGATGTGTGTACTGAAATCTGCAAGCTGTGGGACTGAACATCCCCTCTTCCTGCAAGCTTTGCATTTCTGGTACCTCAAAAAGCCCCGTCAACCACAGGTGCTGGAGGATTCTATCAAGACCAGAGCCATGCATCAAACACCTTTGCACCTTTTTTGGGAGGTGTTCTTTCAGCTTTGCAAGTTTGAAGGATTCACCGAACTGTCCATCGATGCTTTTCGCATGTTGGGTGGGGGAAATCCCCCCCCATCCCCCCCCCCAAAAAAGCCAACGACGATGTGCAGATGCTTAAGGGGGGTGGCTCACCTCCTCCCCCCCCCTTCGTCGTGGGGTCGGTCGCGTTTGATCCACGATCCACGGACTCTAAGGATCTCGCATGGGCACCGCCAGAGGCGGATCATCCCAGGACTCCATCGACATCGGCCTCGGTTTGCGCTCGCGGTTTGCTTGCCGAGCTTGCTGGCCGGAGCGAGCTGGAGCTGAGCTGGGCGGATGCGCGAGGGAGAGGGGGGGGGAGGAGGTGGCAGGCACGAGCAGAGCGGGAAGATGCTGTGTTTCTTTTCGTTTTTTCATGATCGTGAGGTACAGTATATAATTGATAATAGTAATCATGTGTCCAACAAAATGAATCAGAGGAGACGAGGAAAGACGATATCGCCGTGCCACTTCAGGCCATATCGCCTTGCCACTTTGGCTGATGACGAATATGCTCGAGGTCGAGCCAAAGATACAAACCCTTCTAGTTTTGGGAGGCCCACGAGGAAAAGATGAAAAAGCAGAGTCGATTTTGGGATTGCAGGAGCTGCTTTCCACTGCTTTCCATGCAATCATAATCTCCGCCGCAGCTGCGGGAAAGTGACAAAGCACTGAAAATCCTGGACATGATGGTGCAATGCACAGCAGCAAACCAAACAGACCAAGCAAGATTACGTCAATGAACACTGATTCCATGCCGGATGTTGAATTGTGGTTTCAGATCTTCAAACTACCAGATGCTGATCGACGTACTCAAAGGAAGACCTCTCAACGTCTTCTCTCCAGTTGTCTCAGCATGGCCGAACACCCTGAGCTGCCCCAGCAAATATCTCTGCATCTCATTGTGTGCAAAGGCTGCCAAGTAGGTCCCCAGCCCCTGGGAACGTCTCGGTGTCTTCTGCGCGGTCTCGGTGTGTCTAAGCGAAAGCCAGGAGAGTAGCAGGAGATCCGCTGGAAAGGGTCAGCGGAAGAACAAACCAGACACCCAAGCAGGAGTGGAGACATGTAACAAACACAAAGAAGACTATGTATTTATGACATATATATGTATATATATATATGCATATAATGATGTTAAAAAGAAAAAACGGTTTGAGCGAACTCCACTTAGATTGAACACCAAAATTCTTGTGAGCCCACACAGATCTTCCGTGAATCAAACAATCTTTCTGCTTTGGAGATCAAACGATCAATGTGGAACTCTCCTGCGTTTGCATCACCAAAACCTCCAAAACAATGCCTCAGCCCACAAAAGCCTCTTCCAAAAAAGGGAATCAGCCAATCGAACAAATGTCCGCCGCCCACCAGCCAGGTAACCCCAACCAATGCTCCCAAACACGGACCGCTCCACAGGGACCGCTCAACACGGACCGCGACTCCTGGGGGAGACCACCCTGGGGGTCCACGCCATGCACAGGGGGCCCAGCAACAAAGAAAAGCTCTCAGCCTCGGGGGCACTCTCCCCACATCCGGCACTCTCCCCGACGGGTACGGCAGCCCTATACCGACGGATCGATGGGTCTCCTCTCATCGGAGAAAAGGCAGGTGGGGTGGCCGGTGGGGGGTGGCCGGTGGCTCTTGGGGAACGGGTGAAACCTTTCGGGTGGAAAAAAAATACATCAACGCTAGACAACGGCAGTGCGTTTTTCTTTTTTTTTTGTTTTTGTTATCTTTGTCAGTACAGGATTCTTTTGGGCGGTTTTTCCAGGAACCGAGAAAAAGAGATAGACAGGAGTTCCCCTGCCGGAAGATGTAAAGGAAAAAGACATCACCCTGTTATAGAACCACGACACCTGGTGCACCAACTACATCTGTCCAGGTCTAGTGTTCCACGACGAAAACGGATGATTCCAAATGAGTCTTGATGGCTGATATTGGAAGGTTCTGAATACTTGGTGGTCCTGTCCTAGGACAGGGGACGCCGTGCTGAGAAGTGACTCGTGACTCATTTGGGTGTGATGGGTTCATGGCCACCAGGCCACCAGCTGTGGTGGGTTCATGGCCACCATTGGAAGTTCTGGGTGCAGGTTGCCGGATCCCAACTCCCAACCTACACTTGTTCATTCGCAACCTACCCCCAACATGCACACCACTTTCTCCGTGTTCTGAGGTCTTCCAGCTCTGTCCCGGCGACCCTCAAGGGATGGGGCTTCTGATGGCAACCCAACATACATCATGGCCCAAGACAAGTGGAAACATGCGTCTCTGCATCTCTTTCAGATTCATCTTGGAGATGGTGATTCGATCCTCAGGGAGACCATCTTGTTCACTAAAGCTGATGGCAACCCTAAACACCAAATCCCTACTCGCCAAGCTTGTCTTCCCATACTCCCCAAACGGAATGAGGAGTCGGGGTTGGGGCCGGTGCTTCAGCTGTAGTGGCCCACCGGGAAGAATGAACACACATGTAATCACACCTGCAAAATGTGGATACCTGAACCTGACCCCAAATGAACAAACACACATCAACTCATGAGTCATGAGTCAGATCGCATCTGATCTGATGTTCAGCATCCTAACCTGCCAAGATCTCGGTTGCGTCATCCGGGTCACTCACTGCATCGATCCTCGCGACACCAACAAGCGCTGGATTCTTGTGGGAACTGCATAGAACACTCCTCCACGAAGCAGATAGGCACAGTGCACCAAACATAGAACTCCCACCCTCAAGACCTCCAGCCCCTCCGAAACATGAACGCGACTCCTTCCTACGCGCCCAGGGCCACTGCCCTGCCCTGGCAGAATCGTCTTCGATCGACCTTCGGACCGCCCAGGACCGCGATGTTTTGGAGCGGCGCGGGCGCCGCCTGTGGCGGTCCCAGTCCACCGCGCGCGGAGCAGCGGCGCGGTGCTCCGGGGAGATCTTTGCCCCGGCTCAGCTGAGGATCTTTGCCCCGCGCGGCGCGGGAAAGACAACGCCCTGACTCCGAGGACACGAGGCGCCCCGCCCCGCCGCGAAGACGCTCTACACACACGTTGAATGCGTAGGCAATGCATAGCTCATAGCACCGCAAAAGGTCCGAAGTGTCGCAGAGGTCATGAAGAGGAGTATCCATTTGAGCGGGGAATTGCAGGGAGTCTCCCAAAGACTTCCTAGCTAAGGGGTTCTGAGCCGGGCTGAAGATGACGAAGGGACAGGTCGAAAGATGGAAAGTATGGAAATCCACAATCTGGGATGTGACAGCGGAGTCGCATTCAGGCCGAAATGCCCATCCACTCTGAAAGTTACAAACCTTTTGCATGATCCTGGTAGAAAAATATATGGGAGACCATGTTTCGAAAGTGCTTTGAGCCGGCTGATGACATCACCCCAATGATTCCAACCACCATTGAATTGAATGGTTCTTGCTGAAAAACCATTCTTTGACTAAGCATTATAGACTACAAAACCAAGTCAACCTTTCTGTGAATAGTTAAACGTAAGGCGAACGGGCAACTACCTGCAGTTCCCGTCTTTTTCCATGAGCGACCGACCGGTTTTTCCCCCAAAACATCGGCGGACAGAGGTCTCCTCGGCGCGACGAAACAGCCGTTGGCACGACGAAACAGCTCTTATCCGTCCGGGGGCCTCTCAGTTCCACGCGTCCGGTGCCTCAGAAGAAACGCCGGAAGGGCCCTGGGGCTGAGCGTTCGGATCACCAGGCCCACCCTGGTAGGCCAAGCTCACATTGTGACGCACCTACTTAGGACAAAATCACCGCTATTAGAGGAAGCGTGCAAGCAGAACAGAAACCTTGGAACCATGTCTTCCACTCACATGGTCAGTCTGGCAGGGCGTTTTGACCCTCCTCTGAGTTTGGAATGGCCCTACCTTTGAACCAAGAATCCGTGCTATGTGACACACGGCAGCCGTCTGCATGAGAGGCAGCTCTGCACAAATCAAAGGCCTTGGAGGGTGGAGTCAGGCAGGACGAGGCCCCATCCGTTGAGTACAAAAACAGGAGCGACATTGGTCGCCTCTGCACCGACGAGCGAAAAATTAAGTGTCGCTAGTCACGTAGGATCCATGAAGGTAAAAACAGCATCGTCTTCGTCTTAATCTTAGTCTTCTTCGTCTTCGTCTTTTCTCTGCCTCTTCCTCTTCTTCCTCTTCCTCCTCTTCTTGTTATTCTTCTTCTTCTTCTTCTCCTTCTTCTTCTAATTTGTCTTCTTCTTCCGTCTTCATATGCTTCTGCTTCTTCTTCTGCTTCTGCTTCTTCTTCCTCTTTGTGTTTTTCTTCTTCTGCTTCTTTGTTTTGTTCTTCCTCCTCCTCCCTCCTCCTCCTCCTCCTCCTCCTCCTCGTCTTCTCCTTCTTCTTCCTCCTCCTCCTCCTCTTCTTCTTCTTGTGATGCGCCATACATTCTGCACCAGCCAAGAATGGGCGGCTACAGCCTTTGGCAGTCATCTAAACGGTAGGTGGTGCAAACGAAGAGCTCTTTATCTGTTGCGCTCAAAATGTGTTCCTAACCAGCCCCCGAGTTTTCCCCAAGAAATTGACCCCACTTCGAAAGCGAACCTGATCTCATCCAGCCAGTCAACCCCCGTCCATCACCTTCCGGTGTCCAAGAGACCTGCAGCGATCTTCTGTCCTCCGAGGACCCGCAGGGGTGGAAGATCCCGGGTGGTGGAGCAGGTGCCGATGTCTGCTAGAACACCAGGCCAGGCTAAGCCGAAGCTCGGTCTCGAATGCGAGGACCCGACGGGTGGAGTCTCTGGTCTGTGGTCCAAGCCTGGGAAGGTCGGACGTGCAAGGTCTCCCTGGTAGCTACAGACGAAGACACCTGCACCCTGTCTGCAGCTGGGAGGTCACATCGCTGAGAGACGGACATCTTTGAGATGTAGCCGTGGCAGGTCAGGCTGTGGGGAAGAACAACCATAAAAGATGTATACCTATTAATACATATACATCATTATACATCTACCAACATCTACCAGCACCCTGACTGCCAGCTTTTTAGTTGAGGGTTGGGCTCGGAATACAGGTCTCATGAGGTTTTTTGCTTTGGTTCGGTTGCTTTTCATCTGGTCTCATGCGGACCGAAGTCCAGGTTTCGACTGTTTCGCCGAAGTGTTTGCCTCATTAGTCAGACCTTTGAAAAATGGTCTTTTTGGGACTCCCAGGGCTAGAAGGTCTTCAGAATCTGCAGGTTAGAACTCATTGAAGAAAAATCGTCCAAGTGTTTATTTGGAAGTCTTTCTTGGAAAGCTTGGACACTCTTTGGAATCACAGACCGGGAAGTATAGCTGCTCTCTCCCAGACGTGACATGTGTGTGTGTGTTGCTCTCTTCCATCCGCAACAAGTCGCCGCATGGTCGATCCCCACGACCGGATGGGAGGACGATCCCCGCTCAACCCGTTTAGATCGATCCCCACTCATATCCCAGAGGACGGGTTCTTTCTGAAGGCGAATGGTCTTTTCCAAAGATCGAGTGGTAGTGAAACCTCAGTTTCCCCCCCAACAGCTTTGCGCGACATAGCTTGCACCTTAGCTTGCTGAAAACGAACTTTCCAAGAAAAATCTCTTCAGGTGGTTTCAGGGTGCTTTCTCAAAAATAGTTTCCTGGCTCTGGCTCTTTAAGAACCCCCAACAACAACAAAAACAGACACCTCCCTTGGGTGCTTTTTTAAGGGCCTTTCGTCCCCTCGCGGCCGCGTCATCCCCTGCGGCTCAAACCGGCGGAACGTCAGCTCCTGGAATCCACGTGCCCAAGGGTTTCACGTGCCCCGGATCCACCTCCAGAACCGGTGCGGCGAACCGGTGCGGCGAACGGGCGAACCGGGAGGTGGCGCGCCGGTTTGGTGGTCGGTGGTCAGTGGTGAAACACCGACCTGGTGTGGGGGGGGGAGTCGGGATATAGGAAAAAAATCTACAAGCTGCTCGAAAACCATTGAAAACCTATAGACTCTGGGATTTAAAGGCTTACGCCTGACAGCCGAGCGCCGGCCAGGGCAGGGAGGAGAGAGAAGGAAAGGGGTGGGAGACCCCGGGGAGGGGTGACTCTCCGACATGTCCAGCCCAGACGCTTCTCTCCGCAACCCCCAAAACACCGTAAAACACATTGCGCTTGCACACGTTCAATCTCGCGTCTCTTCGCAGCCGCGCAGACACTGTAAAACAAATGGTTTTCGCACAGGTTCAATCCAGACGCTTCTCTCCACAACCCCGAAAACTCTGTAAAACACGTGGTTTTCGGACATGTCCACTCCAGACACTTCTCTCCGCAATCTCGAAAACACCGTGCCACACATAGTTTTCGGACATGTCCAGTCCGTGCTCTAGCTCCTCCGGTAGAAGAAAAAAGCCAGAGAGCCAGCAAAAGAACAAAATGCTAATAATGGAAGGCCACTCGGGCAGCATATCTCGCACCACGGGCTGACGAAAACGACCTCGCATTCATCACCATATCCATGTTGCCACGTGTTGGCCCATACTATCCGTACGTTGGGCCTATGTTGCCAGGGTGACTTCTGGGGGAGGCGTGGTATAGATGCCATAAATGTGAGCTGCCGGAGTGCCATGTGTCCAGGTCCAAAAGGCGGCTTCCATGCTGGGCAACAAATGGAACCATCGTTGTGAGCTTGCAAGCTTGAAATCTGTAATACAACGATTCACAGTCAGAATAAATCAAAAGAAAGCAAGAATAATCACCAAGGGCGACCCTCGGGACCAAAACGGGCGGGCCCCGTCGTCACTTCCTCCCCACCTCCGGGTCACTGATGCCCCTGTAATTTACCGTGTATCGTGTGTGTGTGAGGTATAAAAACCACTGTGCTTTACAGGGCTTATTGCGCATATCGAAGTGCGACGCGGCGAAGATGGAGAAATGCAAAAACGCTGTGCTTTTCAAGAGTGGTGTCGGTAATGCGCGCCGGGCGGACAAGCTTAATCGACATTTTGTGGGTAGAGGCCCTCCAAACGACTTAAATTGCCTAACATATCCTCAACATAGGCCCAAGATGGCCAACATATCCCCAACATATGCCCAACATAGCCTCCAAGATGGCTCAACATAGGGCCAACATAGGCCAACATAAGGCTTACATACGCCAACATAGGCCCAACATAGGCCCAACCTAGGCCAACATAGGCCAACATAGGCCTAACATAGGCCAACATAGGCTCAACATAGGCCCAACATAGACCACATGCGCCCAACTTGGCTCAGCCTAGGGCCCAGTACGCCCCCGATAGCTGCACGTGCACCCGACACAGACCCTAGTGGGCCGGCGCCCGGCTGTTAGGCGTAAGCCTTTAAATCACCTTCGGTAACCAACCGAAGGCCTCCGGCTAGGACACGGGACGCGTGGCCGGCGCCCCGGATTTTCTCCGTGCCCCCCTTGCCGAAGTGGGTAGGGGAAGGAGTCACGCGCCAATGCGAGCGTACTATATGTATTTACTCACTCATTAATCAAGGTGGTAGCCTACCTAATCCGGGTAAGGGTCTGCAATCTTATCCCAAGTCATCCCAAGTCTTAGTTTTGCACATGCGTTAGTTAAAAAATATTACATTTGATGAAATGAGATGTCATTTAGCGAGAGGATATCCCTGATACTGTTGGTTTCTGATGATGGTGTCTGCAAGCTCCTGTGCCCAGAGAATTACCGGACGAGATGCCACTCTGGCGTTGTGTTTTGCATGGAAGCCAAATTGCAGCAAACTTTTAGCATCTTGCTTTTTATATTGTGGGACTAAGGATTGCCTTCACTCACTCTTCTTTTTGGCCGTGAGACAGCAGGTCTTT